TGCACATATACTTCTTAAAGAACAAATGAGATGGATATACATCGTCCAGTTTGTCGCATATGGGAAAGGGAGCGCGTTTAAAGGAATACCATCGTAATTTATTGTAGAATGACGGTTAAAAAATACAATTATTATTGATGCAAATAGGGAAAAAATATAAAATTGTGATTAAAGATGTATCGATTAATACGTTTTATGTATGATTAATACATTTGAAAGATTAATACGTAATTTTTCAAATGTATTGGTGAGGCACTGCCTCATCTGCCTCATAGGACAAGCCGCCCCTGGTTGGTAGGCAGTTCTTTTAGTTTAAATTATCTCAAAAACTGCGACTTTTGACTGATTTTGATGTTATTACAAATTTTGTTGTAAATGTTATTCCTAATCTTAAATTGAAAACCGCGTTTCGCCAGCTACTGTAATTTTGGAGTTACGATTTTTTAAAATTTTTAACCCCCTTCCATACCCCCTTACCAACTCCCCACCCCCACCAAAAACTAATGGCCAGATTCTCGGGTGCCACAGACAGTATTTTTGTGCCAAATTTGGTAAAAATCGGTTTAGCGGTTTTTGACTTATCGTGTTACAGACGGATAGACGGACAGACAGACAGACACCATGAAAATATTTTGTATTTAGGTCATTTATGACCAAATAACTCATTTTGAGTGAAATTAAAAAGACTTTTTTTGCCGATCTTAATAGCCTACCATACCTATTGGTATGGTCGGCTAAAAAACTAGGTTTGATATCTTCAGAGACCTAATACTAACTCTACACTATGCCGGAAACAGTCCGAAGTAGGTCAAGGTCGTGTTTCCTCGCCTACCTCTGTCCTGTGTCGGCTTATCTCCGGTCGTCTCGGCTTGTTTCCGTTTGTTTTGGCCTTTCATTTCTTAAAAGCGCCTTGAAACTACTCGTTAAAATGGCGAAGATGGGCGTGGGGTATTTTTTTGGCGACTTTCGCTTGTCTCCTTTTGTTTCGTTCAATTTCGTTTTGTCTCGAGTCACTTCCACGACGTTTCGGTTTCTATACCCGAGACAAAGGACTTTTTTTTTCATAAATCTCAGTGAAATACGTAAACCTAGACGTTTCTAAAATATCTGTTGTTACGATGACATTTCTTTAATTACATCTCGTTTTTGTTGATATACAGGGTGGCCCATTAGTGCGAGCAAGTGCAATATCGTCGTCATTGTTGAAGATATGAAAAAAAGTTTTATACAGACGCTGCATGGTTTACATGGGTCACATCCTAAAAATAATTTGTTGTATACAGGGTATCCCAAAAAAAGTTATGATAAAGTTTTAAGTTTTTTTAAATTGCATCTCCCATTTTTCTCTACAGATTTGGATTCGGCATAAAATTCTGCATATGGTACGCTATTTTTCTTTCCAGCACTATGCGGTGTTGTCATCCTATTTCATATTTACTGAAACTTTGGTTAAAACACTATATCCGAAAAGTGGTTAAAAACTAGTATGTATTTAACTTTGCTATTAATTACTTTTAATTTGCTAGACCATTAGACCATGCAACATGTATATAAAACATTTTTCCATATCTTCGACAACAACGACGATATTATATATTATACTCTCTGTATATTCCACAAGATCAATATTTGAACACACGTTTATAATATGTATAGTAGATATTTAAAAAAAAACTTTTCATTTGATCTGCAGGAATATAATTACAATATTTTTATTATTTAATTTTATTATAATGAATTAGTATATAACATTGTATATGTTACGATTGTTTACGGTCTTAATTGATTAATACATGTATAACAGCAGAATTGCTTGATGAGCAATACTGGTAACACCATCAAAATATATCGAGCTGATTGGGAAAATTATTGATTGACCCAATGACAATAAAAGTATGGTCCACGGTAATTTTTAAAAAGTTCTCTTATTATTTTTTAAGAGGACTGTAAAGGATTATTTTCTTAGCACACAACATGATTTGATATTCTGCTAAACTAAATTTTACCCTTTTTTGATTGCAGTAAAATTAGCATATTCATTATTCAACGCATTTTGGAGTTTTTGGATTAATTTTATCTGCATAAAGAATTAAGTACCTTTCTTAGTCATAATTATCAGTAAAGATTAGTTATTTAGGTATTTTTAGTTTGTTATTCTACTTAGTTTATCAGCCCCCGTATAACGATATAATCTTTACATATGCAATTTATCAGTAAATATATTAATTTTTTTTCAAACGTCACAAAAGTATTAATTTTTGCGACGTGATTGACAATATAAAAAAGTCATTTTAACGCCTAGGCATAAAAGTACGAAAATATATTATTAAACTGGTTTGAAATTGTTTAAAAACTTATTTGTGGCGTTTGAAAAAAAATAGCATGTTTTATTCGGAGTAAAAATGCCTTTTTGTGCCTCGGCTGTATGTCAACGTGCAGCCTCGGCCCAAAAAGTGCCATTTTTACTTCTAATAAAACAATATATTATTTATTACTTTAAAAATAATACATTTCAATATTGTTGTGTTAGGAATGATTTGTTATCTATCTGGAGATTTTGACAAATAATCTTAAATACTTTAACACCATGATGTTTTCTTAGCAAAATATTATCTGTTCGTATCGCTATTTTTATTGCAATTGATAATAATTTTTCTATTATTATATCAGTCGTCAGAAAGTGTTTCGGATACTGTGACAATAACTTTAGAATTCTATAGAAAACTGTGAAGACTTTTTGTGATTTTCGGTTTCAGATATTTCCATAAAAATCGTTTTATTACTGGTTTATAAACTTTGTTTGTATCTATGGTAACCATTTTACTACCCTGTATGGAGATTGTAAGTAAAAATCCTTCATCTGAAGCTAAGAAATAACTATATATGGGTGTAAAAAACTTAGCTTTATAGTTTCTTTTTTTAGTTGATTTCTTTCTATACAGTCAGTATACAGTCTGCATTAAGTTTTTGAATGAACCTTTTTTTATATCATGTTTTTTTAAATTTTTAACGGTTTCGCAGATACTCGCGGTATTATCTCATATGACTCTTTCAGCGGTGAAAAATTGTTGGGTGGCTTTGATAAAAATTTACTGTGGAAACTGTCATATGAAATATAAAATCGCGAATATCTGCAAAACTTAAAAATTTTGAAATACTTTAAATAATATAAAAATGTTCATTTCTTAATTCTAAATCTATTAAAAAATTTGGGCTATAAAAAACTGGGCGTTCGATTTAAAGAAACGAAGAAAAATTATTTCATATTTCAGAAAGTTTGGCCCAGAATTTTGAACATCCTGTATGATTTAAGATTACGATATTTATAGCAAAGTAAGTACAGGCCATCTAAAGTTCTTGTAGTTCAGACAGTTCTTGTATTTTTAATAATTTTTTTAAAAAAGGCTGAAAGATATATATTTTTTATTTATTTATTTATAATATTATCTCTGAAACTATCAAAACATATTTACTCATATTCTAGGAATATGTAAAGTGGTCTAATCTAAAAATCTGTAAAGGAAGTCAAAAATACAATAATATGCAGGGTGTTCCATTTTAAATAAGTCTGGTTTTCGGTCTACCCCTCATTCTCTTTCCACCTATTTCATGTCACATTATCATTTCAGGAACTCTTGTTTCAGCAATTCTTTCAATATGTCCTAGTAATCTCAGTCTTTGTGCTCTTGCACTTCCGTTATACTCGCTGCACGATATAGTTGCTTTATTTCTTCGTTTGTACTTCTGGCTCATATGTTGTCTATCTTCTTTCCTCCAAAAATCTTCCTCAGAATTTTCCTTTCTCAAATCTCTAGCCTCGAATTTTCCGATGTTTCACATGCTGATAGTACTATTGGTCGTATCATTGATCATTGTTTAGTACATTATATAAGGTGCATAATTTTTCAAATTTGGAAAAGCATAGAGATAAACTATTACCACAGATTAGGTATCCCATAAGTATACAGATAAAAATCTTGTCTCTAATTCGTGGTATGAAAATTGTTTTTTTTGACGATGTAAAATTTCCTGTGCGCAAAAATAAACTCGCGTAAAATAACAATAAACAGCGTAATAGAGAGATATCGCTAAACCGAATAGCGTGCATGGACGTTAATAAGGCCAGGTGTTATTTCCTTTACGTGAGGTGGTATTAACTCTCTTCATTTATAGTTATCGGATCGGAAAGAATTCTGTTCGCGTCGCGTCCGCTATTTAATTAACCTAACTTTGAATTTAAAACTTTGAAATTGTTTTGTTTACTAGGTATTTTAAAACTAAAGGGCCAAAGTGCTTATTTCCAGTGCTTTATTGTTCAACGTCTGCCAGTGGGTTTAGGGCAACAAGCAACAAATTCTCTTAGAAGGGCTAAGTCGTCATCTGCTGTAAACCTAAGCCTCTATAGGTTCTTTAATATTGGAAGAGGTTAGAATCCATATTTTGGGCCATATTTATTTAATGAAAACTAATCCCAGCTACTTAAATATCAAATTACCTAATAAAACTAAAGTAATAATTCAAAACAATTCAACATAACCTAAAATAAAAGATCTCGCCGGCCGGCCCCGGTTGTCAAATACCCGCACATGCCCATTTAAGCAATTTTTAAACGTTATTTAGAAATAGCGCTTGGTGTAATTGATCCGCAAATTACGTCAGGCGGTAACGTTATTAGCGGGTATTGCGTTAAAAATTGACTCGCGCATATCGTAACCATGATAAGGTACGCGCAAATACTGCATGACGCTCTTCGGTTTTCCGATATCTCCCTAATAACTGTGCCGGTCAGGCGCTGTGCACAATTTTACCGGCCATAAGTGGGCGTTCTATGTGCGCAAACTAGTAACCTAACTAGTACCCGATTCCGAAAATTGGAACCACGAAAAACAATAAAGAAAAAACAAACTTTATAATCTGTGCTATTACTATAAATAATTCTATTATTATTAATAAATTCTATAAACTGTATGAAATTTAATTATCAAAATTATCTGTTTCAGGATGAGCTATCGGAAAAATCGTTTCTGGCTTCCAGAAAGGACCAGCTGGACGCGGCATCAACCCAATGGAAACACCGCGTGGAGAAAAGCGACGCGGAAAAATTCTCAGTCGCCGGCAAAATGGACAAAATACCCACAATTAATATCCCTTCAGTGGAAAAGGAGAAGAAAACACCTCAGGCCAAAAGATACAAAGGAAAGAACGGTAATTTTTGGTTTTTCTAGACTAAAATCGTTGATTGAAAGAATTGGGAAGATACGCAACCTAATGGGTAAATTCGTGACAAGGTTGATTTGATTTCCCATTAAGTGTCAAGTGCTATACGGTGGAGCCTTTACACGTTCTGCGACCAACGCATAAAACACTCATTTTCTCTAATTTGACTAGCGAAGGCATAACGAAGATGGTGTGAAACTCAAAGAGATAGTGTTGCCATATTAAAATGTGTAATAAGTATCTGTAATAACGTTTGACGAAAATATCTTTTTTGATGAAAAATCAATTCGCGTTGATGTATTCAAAATTTATTAGTGTTAAACATACAGTAAACAACAAAAATAAAAATTCTTTTATAGGTACTGAATATTTCGTATGGTCGAAAAAAGTCGTTTAGTTGGCTTGGAAATGACTACTATTGACATTTACCATAATATTTTACATATTAAATAACAGCCATCTTCATTTCCAAGGCAACTCTTGCGCCGTTCTTTCTTTAATCATATAATATTATATTAAATTGTTTAATATTAAAAAAATCCGTATTATTAACGTACTGTACCCAAAATCCGTAAATCTACGAATTAATCTGTAGTTATGGCAACACTGTCTCCGGCACCCACTCACTCTGTCGACTGAAAGCAGAACTACGGTACAGTATTCTTTATCCGCTGCGCTGTAAACGACATAAGCGCGCATCGACGCAGAGCTGAAGTCGTTTAGAGCCCAGCGGACAGGTTTTGTGCCACGAAACCGCCCATAAGGTTACGCATCTTCTTATTTCTTCAATCAACGCTAAAATAGGTTAGTGAGTGTGATTACGTGGTTATTTTTTAGATGCCTCATCTACACCATCATCACCCGAAAAGAATACCATGTTTAATCTCTGCAGAAGTACATCTGAATTAACACCAGGTGCCCTCAAGGGTGATAAAGGTATATTCTATGTTATCCCTATATCTATGAATAAGAGTGATAGGCACGAAAAACGGACAGCTTAAAATTTTCAAGTATTTTAAAATTAAATATATTTTGTTCTGAATTTGATGATTTTTGAAGTGATTTGTAGCTGAACTATTTGACTTTTTAACACACTTCCTAAATTAAAAATTCTTTTTTCCATTGGTTTTATACAAGGGAAAACAATTGGGTTGATATTTAGAGGAAAGTTTTTAAACATCCTGTGGAATCGTTTAACAAAATAAGGAATTTAAAAAATATCTTATTATCAAGGTACATTTTTTCTCGATATTTTACTTTTTAGTTCATCACAATAGCTTTATATTTTTATTGCTGACTTAAGATTTAAGTTTTTTTTTCAAAATGAGTTGTGATTTAAATCTTTATTCCTAAATAGAAAAAGATTTAAGTCTTTTTAGAAAAGACTTAAGTCATTAAAAGTATGTAGACTGTATTGTAGAGTACCTTGAAATCTTCCAGCCCCCCTTTAGCTTATGTCATCGACATCTTACATAGTGATTCACCACAGAATGTTTCAACAGGATGTTTCAAAATTTTGCTAAAATAGCAATATTTTGTTTTTTCCTCATATAATAGACACATGGATATTTAAAAATTTAATTCTAAGAGAAGCTAAAAAGTTAAATAATTTAGCTGCTTTAAAAATCAATAAAAAACTAGAACAAAATATGTATGGAAATGCTACTTTTTGAATTCAAGTTTTAAATTATATTTATTTAGTAGACAAATTGATATCCCGTATAATATATAATTTCACTTTATAGTTGTTTTTAAACTTCTTAATTTTTACAGAGTCAGATACCAAAAGTCGAGTCGTCAGCGTAGTCAAGCCTGATGATTTCACTTTCACCGCCTTCTTTGAAAGTGTTGAACGTGCCAATGTCCAAGGTGATCAACTGGATATAAAACCTGAAGATTTTGATGCCATAGAGCGCCAATCTTTGTTAATTTACAAGAAAAACGTACAGGTTAGTTTATGTTTTTACTTTTGGAATAGAAGTTAGAACCACATAGAAAGTAGCAACCATATTGAATGGTTTTCGACGTTCTTGTTACGGGGTTCTACACCTAATCTTTGTTCTTAAACATTTTTTTAGACATAAAGTAACATGCTTTAAGTTAAAAAATCAACTGATTGATTTAAATGAATATGGAATAATTGAATTTATCGTATTATGGTAATATTTTTTGATAGATTCGAAGAAGGAAGCCCACAAGAAACCCAATCAAAGCTTTAGCTGAAAGAACTGACATCACTAATGAATATACTGAAGTCATAACCGGTGTAGCCGAGAGAGAAAAAAAGAGACTGAATATTGAAAAACGTAAGTCGATTTACAACTATCAAACACTATCCATTTATAATGATTTGTTTAATGTTTTTAGTTGCCCAAAACTCCAACAAAGCCTTGGAAGCCTTGGCAGGTCTTGCTAGTAAAGAAGACTTCACATCCGTAGCCCTGAAGAAGGGTTCCGTCTTATCCTCCTATTCGCCTTGGAAGAGCCTGATGCTCCTCCAAGTTAAAGGTCGAAGACACGTTCAAACCCGTCTGGTTGAACCCGTTGCTTCCAGCGTCAACGAAGGGGACTGTTACGTTTTAGTAACAAGTTCAGCAGTTTATACTTACATAGGACTTTACTCCAATGTGATTGAACAATCCAGAGCCGCTGATGTTGCCAGTCACATACAGAAAACCAACGATCTGGGGTGTAAAACTAGTAAAATCATGAATGTCTCGAGTAAAGACATCGTTAAGAGGAACTTAGAAGCATTTTGGAAGCATTTAGGAGCTGAGACGGTTCCTGAAACGATTAATGCTGGACATCCCAGCGAGGATGAAACTTTTGAATCCAATATCTTACAAACCAACATGATATATACTATAGAAGACAGAGAATTAGTTCCTATGGATGCTTATTGGGGCACTATTCCTAAAATCGAGATGCTCACCGAAACTAACGTTATAGTGTTTGATTTTGGATCAGAAATGTACATTTGGAGTGGAAAGAACGCATCTCCCGAGAAAAAGAACCTAGCGATGAAGCTGGCTAAAGATATGTGGGACGAAGGTTTCGATTACAGCGATTGCAGTATAAATCCTCTAAACATAGCTCATGTTTTGGGGGAAAGAGATTCTAAAGAGTTACCGTTGAAGGGAGACAAGAGACCTTCTTGGGCGATGTTTGCCAAAATTACACAGCATCGAGAAACAGTCTTATTTAAAGAAAAGTTTCTGGACTGGCCTGATTTTTCCAGGGTCATTCGAGTTAGAGGAGAAGACGGTATCAAACGAGGCAAAGGATCCATTGAAATCAAACCTTGTAACGCCGAGGAAATGGTTAAAAACAAAACAAACCTTCCGGATCTCCAGATTGGTAACACCCACTTGGGTAGAGGAGACGAATATTTTGATGAAGAAACTCGCCGACTATTTCAGTACGACACCATCCAAATAAAAGCTTGGAGAATCCAAGAAAACAGTCATGAAGAACTTAAAGAACGGTCAATAGGTCAATTTTACGACGGCGACAGTTATATATACTCCTGGAAATTTCGGCAAACTGTCAAAGGAAGAGAATTAAATGGTAAACCATCAAAACATGCGCAAGTCGGTCGTGATATGACGATATTCTTTTGTTGGCATGGAAATAAATCTTCTGTTAACGAGAAATGTACCGCTGCATTCCTAACTGTTGAACTGGATAAGCAGAATGCTCCTCAAGTACGGGTAGTGCAAGGTTCCGAACCAGCAGCTTTTCTAAGGCTTTTCAAAGGTACGATGGTGATACATAAAGGCAAGAGAAATGAAGTGGATAAAGAACCAAAATCTAGACTGTTTGTTGTACGCGGTGAAGTGGAAGAAGAAATCTATTTTATGGAAGTTCCTGTAGAAATGGCTAGCTTAAGAAGCCGATCTTCTTTGGTACTGTTAGATGTCCAAGGAGGACAGGTTATTATCTGGCACGGTTCCAAATCCAGCGAACTGAAAAGAAAAGTTACCAAATCTTCCCTAGAAAGGATTCTAGAGAAGAAATCAAGCGAGCTGTTGTTGGATGATGATGATGAAAGCTCATTGAAAATAGTTGAGATTGTTGAGGGTAGTGAGAGTGAAGACTTTTTGGATACTATTGGAAACGACAGGAAGTCGTACTCATCCCTGTTGGACAGTGATAAGGATTTCGATTATACGCCTAGGCTTTTTAAGATGTCGAGTATTACGGGTAGTTTTGCTGCTACGGAGGTACCGTGTCCGCACAGGAGCGAACATATCACGCCTTATCCTTTTGTACAGTCAGATCTTTACCAATCTAGTCAGCCAGGTTAGTGTATTTTTGATATATTTTTTAAGATACGTTTTTGAAATTATTTTAGTATTTGAAAGTAACAACGAGAAAATAAATATTACTCTTTTGGTTATTTTGTTAATAGTGAAGTTAATACTTCTCTAAACTGATCTAAATTCATCGTTCAACGTCACGTCATATCCTAGATCATATATACTTACGTATTGTCATCATATTGTCATAATCATATGTCATAATCTTATTTTCATTGTATAACGACGCTTGTTTTTGACGTTTTTTATTTTAAAAATTGTATTAATTACTCTTTAATCGACCGCTTTTGTATAGCTAAGGATGCAAGTGTCTTCAGTGAGAAGTTAATTTTAAGCTTGTGCAAATATATTTTTTTTTTCTTCGTCTAATGCCCCATTTTATATGATATTAATATTTATTATATCTTTCTAGCGCTGTTCCTTTTCGATAATCACCACGAGTTGTGGTTGTGGCAGGGCTGGTGGCCCGAAAAGGAAGACTGCGAACTGACGGCCGATCAGACCGGATCTGGAGCTGTCAGATTGCAAGCGGAGCGTCGAGCGGCCATGCAAACGGCTATGAATTACTGGAAGAAGATCCACGCTGACCAGGATGACCACGAACCGATCGAGGCTTATTTGGTGTGGGCAGGATTAGAACCTTTAGAGTTTAGGAATCTGTTTGCCACGTGGGAAGTGAGGCAAGATGTTAGGGAACTAAATCTTCGGGTATGTTAACTTAATTTTATTTCTTTGCAGTTATTTCTTCAAGGTTTGACATCAGTGTATCCTTAAACATACAGAAAATGGGTGTTAAAATAAAACACTAATTCACACAATACACTAAAACACTTAACTTTTGCACTGGACGCGCGTTTCGCTAACCATGTTAGCATCATCAGCAGATTCTGTGGGGAAAATGGGAAAATACCAGAACACATTATCACTGAGTCTCATAAACTTTGGTACGGCTGATGTCGAGGTTGGAGAGCTGGCATCTGTGGAGCCGTCTCAGATACTGGCTTTTGTCAAAGCTCTGAGACTGTATGATGAGTTATAACTCAAGAGAGAGGGACACACAAGAGATCCGTAAGGTCGAGGTGATTAACCTTCCTTCTAAACATTCTACACTCTACATCATCAACAGATGATTAAAACTCAAATAAACAGCTTTAATCATTTGCTGATTGTCTAGTGCAAAAGTGAAACTGTTTTGGTATCATCATCATCATCATCATTTTCAGCTTATTCAACCATTTCTACCATAGTATAGCCTCCCTCACGTACTCTCTTTGTAGTTGAGCCTATTGTTGGCTGACATATTAGGGCTAATAGTTTGGAAAGCCTCTCGTATTTTTACTTGAAGCTCGTCCAGATTATTAGCCCTATTATGACCATACACCTTGGATTTTACATAACCCCACAAAAACAAATCATTGGGAGAAAGATCTGGTGATCTAGCGGGCCAACAAAACAAAATAGTTCCATATCCACTAATTAAACGGTTGGGAAAAGTATTGTTCAAATATTCTTGAACAATACGGGCATTGTGAGCAGGGCAACCATTTTGTTGAAACCAGGCATTGTGGAATATTTCTCCCAATAACTCACGAATTCTAGGGACAATCTGCTGCTGTAACAATTCCAAATACTTTGCAACAGTTAAATTACCCTCTATAAAAAATGGACCAATCATATGCTCCCCTACAAAACCACCCCAAACATTTAGCTTTTGAGGATATTGCGTGCGTACCTCAAAATATTTGTGCAAATTTTCCCGAGACCAATATCGTACTTGTGTAGGGTTATGACGACTCAATAAAGGAAAACTTGATTCGTCGGTGAAAACTATACACCGAATAAAGTTTTCATCTAAATTGGCGTTTTCCATTACAGATTCACAAAACGCCATACGCCGTAAATTAGTCTTCATGGAAAATTTCTTGAGTTTTGCGCGCTTTATACGATCGGTATCCATAGGACTCTTAACCGTGCTAGGTGAAGAATCTGTTACCTCAGCAATATGATTATTTGAAAACGTGGGATTTTGATCCGCGGTACCACAAATGAATACTTGCTTTAACTTCTGTTCTTCATTAATCAACAGATCAGGCTTTTTGTGTTTTTGTGGGGACACGCACCCATGTGTTTCAAAATTATTAATAACTCTTGATGTAGTAGGTAAAGATGGAATTGGTCTGTTTACAAAAGTTTGTGGAAAAATTGTTTATATATCCCGATAAGACCTATTTTGGAAATATCATTTTACAATTTGAATTTTCTCACGAACTTCGTAAACATCCATTATTTTACTTAAAAAATAAATTTTACACGAGAACTGTCGCGAGAATCTGTGGATTCGTTTTGGCTATTAAAACACGAATAAATACAAATTCTGAAACATTCTTATCACATATCTACCTATTTTTATTTTATCACATTTTTTCGCCTGCTTTTTATCTGGCGGACGGGTATACGCTAATTCGTCCGGTTCTGCCTATGTTACTACTATGGTGGTCCGGTCTGTATAGAGAAATACTGTTAAATTTTATATTTATATTTTTCTTTTTAGGACGGTAAAAAAGAAGACGACAAAATTCCTCTTAGAACAGAGCTGGCTCTTCTCACCAGAACCACCTACCCTCTCGCCGAGATACTCCAGCGACCTCTACCGGAAGGTGTCGACCCAACCCAACTAGAAATCTACCTGTCCGACGACGATTTCAAAGAACTCTTACTCATGACCAAGGACGAGTTCGAACAGCTTCCGTCGTGGAAGAAAACAGCCTTGAAAAAGGATAAAGGTCTTTTTTGACCGCTGTTAAATTTTTTATTCGGGTTGTTGTGCTTCAAATAGACATATCACACACTTCGTAAGATAAAAAAAAAACGATTTTTTAAGTTATTTCTCTATCAAATTTAGAGCTGTTTCACACGAAGGTACTGGTGTCTGACGCCGGTGTTCAGATTTAGTAAAGTGTTATTTAAAATCTGCGTATATACATGAACCACGTTGCTTTTAATGGAATAGCTGTCGCTGTCTAGTGTCTTGTCCTCACAACAGGCCCAACCAACGGACGCTGTTTTAGCAGGCACATTTTGTGCCGTGTCTTTAGTTTGAATTAATTATGGAAAGAAGTCTTGATTCTAATATGGAGGGAGAACCTTGAGAAGAAGGTCATTGAAGGAGAACCAACTATTTGGGACAGTAAGGTTATAGTAACAAAATTAAAAATAGACCTTTTTGGTATCTCTCAGATAATAACAGGTGTATCAATAATTCTCTCCTTCGTGGCCGTTGAATTATTAATAATACAGTCAGTATAATATTTCTTCATATTTTTAAACTATACTCACAGGCACGAAAAATGGGCATCTTAAAATTTTCATGTATTTTAAAGTTTTATACAGGGTGTCCCACTTAAGATGGATACAAGCCAATATCTTGGTTGTTTGTTGAGCGATATTTTTCATTTTTGGCAGAAGGCTGTATGGCTCTAAGACGTACATTTTGCCTAGGGTAAGAAATGCGATACCTCATAGACGTACGTTTTAATGGGGTTTGATATTTATCGAGTCAAGAGTAAACTACCCTTAGGACAGTATTTATTTCAAATCTGATAAATTATATTGAATCCTTTTTACCTAAGATACTTAAGTTCTAATTTTTACTATTTTTTTAAGTATTTACGACGCCACTGGATAAACAACTGGTTTATTATCAATAACCAATTATAACCAATAATCAATTAATAATCGATTTAAGTTTTCAGATAGCTTGCATAATAATTAAGATACGATACAAAAAAACTTTGTTTAGAGCATATTTTTGAAAGTTAATAGTGATTGTTTTAAATATCCAACTATTTGGATTTTTTAAAATATTCCTCAATAAAACGAATAAAAATCATATTTCGGATTCCATTGAAAACTGGGTTTTAAAATTATTTTGTAACTCATTTTATTCATTTGTATTAGCAAACTTAAAAAACAATTTTTTAAAATATATATTATAAACAAAATAAATTGAAAGTTAATTATTATGGAAGCTATCTGAAAACTTAAATCGATTATTAATTGACAATTGGTTATAATTGGTTATTGATAATAAACCAGTTGTTTATCCAGTGGCGTCGTAAGTACTTAAAAAAAATAATAAACATAAAAATGTTTAATTTTAATGACACACCCTGTATCAATATTTATAAAAATTAGAACTTAAATATCTTAGGTAAGGAGGATTCAATATAATTTATCAGATTTGAAATAAATACTGCCCTAAAGGTAATTTACTCTTGACTCGAAAAATATCAAATCTGTACGTCTATGAGGTATCGCATTTCTTACCCTGGGCAAAATGTACGTGTTATAGCCATACAGCCTCCTGCCAAAAATGAAAAAGATCGCTCAACAAACAATCAAGATATTGGCTTGTATCCCTCTTAAGTGGGACACCCTGTATATTGTGTTCTAATGGACCGATTTTGATGAATTTAAAGTAATTTGTAGCTGAATTATTTAACTTTTTAATATCTCCATCTAAATTAAAAAGGAAAGTTGTCAGTTGTCGATTATACGAGGAAAAACAAACTGTTGATATTTTCGTGAAAGTTTGAAACACCCTGTGGAGTACGTAAACAATGCAAGGAATTTAAAAATCATTTTATCATTTAGGTGTATCTTTTCTCGATAGTTTGTTTTTTGATTCATCTTAATAGCTTTATATATTTTGGAGATATTCGCTTTTGAAGAAGACACTACCATGTTTTCGATTTTTTTTACATTAAAGCCATGCCTTTGCTTTTGGTCCTAGTCAACAGACCTATGAAATAGTGTTTATGATTTATGTAATGTCACTGTCTGGGAAAGATCATTTAGTTTCTTTAGTAGATATGGTTTTAAGTCCTAAAGTTGATATAAGCAGCACAAAACATCCCCCTTTAGAACTTCATCTCTCATGTTAAGATATGAAAGTAAATAATAAAGCGCCTCTCGTGTTTGTTCGCATACTAAAAATTTCAATTAATGCCTGTATATATTTTTAATATATTTTTTAAATTTAATTTTTTTTAATTGTCAAGTAATATATTACATTTAAATTGAATATATTACATTTCAATTATGTCAATTACAGGATTACAGGCTTGTTTTCTAACATTTTTTAAATAAAACGAATTGTTAAATTTCAATATAATATGTATATTTGTTGTAGGTATGAAAAAAGTAAAATATAAAATGGACAAACGCTTACTTACATTGCAATAAAACTTCCACTTTTAGTTTTGCAATCCAAATGCAATATTTCTATTTCACAAATAAAAATATCCGACAACACTAAAATCACTGAAACTTCCGCGGCTGACAACGAAAACTGAAAAATATAACTGCACTTTTGTTTTGGACCTGCATATCAACATTACGCTGTACCATTTATGAAAATATCTAATTATAACTTGTAAATTTTAATATTTTAACATGATTTTTTACTATTTCTGACAGTAACTAACTTTTTGTTATCAAGATGACATTTTAAATAATATTTGAATTTTAATTATGTATGTAATATAATTTAAATTAATATAATGCAACTTTATACCAAGAAAACATTTATACATTCACAAAATACAACAAAGTCTAATATATAGTTTGAAAACAATGAATATTGAAAAAAAATTAAAAAAGTTAAGCGGGACCCCTTGTGTCAAAATTAGATGATTAAATTTTCGCAATTTTTACACCATTTGATGACCGGTGGCGCCTCTAGTGTTTGTTCGGGCGGTTGGTCTTTTACTCCCACTTATGGCCATTAAAGAAAAAGTTCTAAAGGGGGATGTTTTGTGATAAGCAGCAATAGCTGATCGTACAGAACTTAAAACCATCTCTACTAGAGTAAACGTCAATGAACAATAATAATATGACTTTTCAATGACAATGACATTAGAAAAACAATAAACACTATTTTATAAGTGTGTTTATAAGTGAGGACCCAAAATCAATGCTAAAATTGGTGTAAATGGTTACTGTCTTATTCAAAAGCGAATATCTCCAATAAAAATAAAGCTATTGAGATGAATAAAAAAACAAACTATCGGGAAAAAACGTACCTAGACGATAACATTATTTTTAAATTCCTTGCTTCGTTAACATATTCCACAGGGTGTTTCAAACTTTCACCAAAATATCAACATTTTGTTTTCCTCCGTATAATTCACAGATTGAAATTTTGATTTTTAATTTAGAAAGAGACACTAAAAAGTCAAGTAATTTAGCTGCAAATCGTTTAAAAAATCATCAAAATCGGTCCACAAGAACAAAATATATTAAACTTTAAAATACATCATATATCTACAGGATTTTCTCGATTTCATTATGTGTTTTGATTTGTTGGCGGACACTGGTATCGCACACAAGTGGCTTGGTGTGAAGTAGCTCTCTCAGGAAGTATTACAGGACGAGAAAACTGCCATTTTAACCTAGCAAACGTACTTAAAAGAAATAGAAATATTGTTTTTGTTTCGATCGATTCAAACGAATATACTCAGAGTAACATGACGCGTTTTCGACGTCTTCCTTTTAAATGTAAATGTCTTTTCTTATAAAAAAAAACCGTTGTTTTGTGATAATTTCTCATTTATTTTAATTTATAGAAAAAAAAATATTAACTGTGATTAAGTTTTTTAGAAGTAGGATAATGCGACTTTCGACAAATGTATTTTGTGCTTTTAAATATGAGCATCTTTTTAGAATAAACAAATAGAATGTTTTATAATAAAAAAAACTTTATATAATATATAAGCACACACAAATTTTACAGTGTATTATTATTTGTATAGAATTTTTAACAGAAACACTGAGATACACGCAGATACTGAGATATCCGTCACTGAATATAAATATTTGTCACAGTAAAATACAATTCAGGACTCCTATTGACTTCTATAGAATAATTTGAAGGTTTTTAGTTAAGGTTTATTAAAAAATACAAAGTTTTTATCTCGCTTTTCATAATTATAATTTTATTGTCTACGATTCACATCTTCTACCTCATAAAATTATAATTGATTCTTATTTATTTATTATATATATATATATATATATATATATATATATATATATATATATATATATATATATATATATATATATATATATATATATATATTATTTACTTAATATAAGAAAAATCAATCATTTATTTTAATATTTCATCGAAAAATAAATTGCACAAGTAAATCTAAAATAAATATAATCTAGTATACTTAATTATTGCATTTTTCATATTACTTTAAGATTTGTCCCTGTGAATTCCAAACATAATTACATTACTAAAAGTATCTAATTGATATTTTAACCTAAAATTCAATTCAGAACTTTTATTGGGCTCTACAGAATTAATTTTATTTTTAAAAATAGTTTTTTTATTCGATTTTCATAATTTTTTTGGCTACGATTCACAACTTCTACTTTACTTGATTCCTTATTTATTTAACACCAGAAAATATCTATCAGTTATTATTATATTTCATCGAAAAATAAAAGTGTGCAAGTACATCTGAAATAAATAGCATCCCAGTATAATTATTATTGCATAAGTTTAAATTTTCTGTTTAAATTTAATAAAATTGGTTACTTCTAAATTATTTCAAACAGCAGTATTAATTTTATCGCATCTAATTTTTGTCAGAAATATGAATAAACGAGCGACGAAAGTGAGTTGAAAATATTATTTTCATCTTGATCTCAATGTCTATTTTATAAAAGTTAATTGAAAAGATGATAAAATTTATTGTTATAGGAGTTATATGTTTGTATTTTTTGTTTTGTTTTATTTTGATAATTCTCCTTCTTAAGAAAAATTATACAAAAAATCCTACATCACAATTATTAGCTTATTGAATTTTCGAAACAATCAAATTTTTAATTTTTATATATAAACAATTTTTTTTATGTTTTGGTTTTAAAATATTACTAGTCTCTCTAATATACTGTAAACCCTAACAATTTTGTTTGCGTTTCTTTGATGATCTTTTTATCAAAAAGAAATATGATCAGATCTTCTGGTCCTTACAGATTAAAACATTCTTTTTAACTTCGGTAACCAACTTCTACTTTATCACATTATAATTAATGAATTTTTTATTCAATTCCTGAAATAATAATCTGTGATTTTTATATTTAATTAAAAAGTAAATTGGCACAAGAAAGTCTGAAATAAACATCATCTTAAACATAACCTAAAAACTTTTAAATTTCAAGTATGATATTTGAAAATATTTAAACATTTGTTTTAATTTTCCCACAATGACAGAAATATGAATCATTGACTGATGACACTGTGTTCTAGATTGTAAAATTTAGTTGAAAAGGTTTATAATC